TTTTTTATAAAATTGTAAGTTATTAAACTAAATTTTAGAATGAAAAATTATGAATTATTTATAATGTTAAAAAATAATCAAATCTTGTATATTAAACATGAACGTTATTTTATGAGGTATTATTTTTAAGAATTTTTCTTCAACTAGAGATTTTGTAGAAATTCTTTTAACTTCTTATCTAATTTGATTTTATTTATCATAATTATTTGTGAATTAAATATTAATATTTTAAAATAAGTAAAAATAATTTTATACTACAATATAATTTTTTTATCACAAATATAAAATATAATCTATATGTTTAAACATGTCTATTTATACAAATTTTAAATATAATTTATATATTCAACATAATATATATTTATAAGAAGTGATATCCTTACTCCAAGAGTAAGTCTTAATAGATTTATTCCAATTAATAACTTTTGTTCTATATCAAAATTTCATTGAACTAACTATTGAATTATAAGTTCTTAATAGATCAAGTCTACAAATTTTTTTAAAGATTTGAAAATTATTTGATAATTCAATTCATTAATTTAAATTGAAAACATGTCTATTTATACAAATTTTAAATATAATTTATATATTCAACATAATATATATATATATATATATATATATAATTTATTATAAATTTTAATTCTATTAATAAACATGTTTGTATAACATTGTTGTTTTTAGGTGTTTGATTAAGTTGGTTCACCCCATATAAGATTTTTCTCAAGACGTAAATCTTTTAAGTTCAATTTTAAGAAAAATTTAGAGAAAAGTTAGAGAGAAATTTTATGGTTGAGTAAATCTTCTCCCCTCTTCTTACTAAAATCCTTTTCATCTCCCTACTCGTAGATGGTCCAAATTAGCTGAACTTGAAATCAAAGCTTGAGGAGTTAAAGATTTCGAGTTGAGGTTGTATGAAGCTTGTTCTTTTTCTTTTTTCCTCTCTTCAGTGTAAGTTGGCAAGAGGTAAGGAAATTTTGTGATTTGTTGATTCTTGTGTTGAATGATGTTTTCTGTTGAATTTTTCCCTTGATTACTATCTTAGATTGTAGATTGGGAATGAGATGATGAGTTAATGTGGGTTTTGTTCCTTGGAGCTATTGGAATCACACCAAACGTTAGTTTAATGATGTCGGGTGTGAGGAGAGAAAATCGCCTCAGGTTAAAATCTCGCTAGGCAATAATGGAGTGGTAACGAGCCTGAGCCATACAAGGGTTTTCTCCCTGAGTTTGGGTCGGGCATGGGCTATGAACATGCCAAGCGCGAGATCCTAAGGGTCCTTGCCTAACATTGAGCACGGGTCAGATGGCATCGACCATGGGCGAGACCGGGAGTCCCTTGCCTTAATGGTGTTGCGCGTCCCTTTAGTGGAGTTGGGTGTGAATTGTATGATGAACATTTGTTATTTAAGTTGTTTATAATTGAATGAAGATAAATAAGTTGTATGGATGATGAATCTATAAGTTGTAAGTTGATATGTTGAATGTTGATGATTATGTTGTAAAGTTATAAGTTGACAGTTGATAAAGTTGTATAAGTTGTATGTTGCTAAAGTTGTTCATGTTGTTAAAGTTGTAGACATGTGGTACAAATACAAGTCTTAGCTATGATGTATAAAAACTAGAGGAGAGAAAGTTGTTTTAGAAATTAGAATATCCTATTGTGTGCATATACGTTGCAATGATCCCAAAGCTTGGTGGTAATCCTTCAGTAAGTAAGTCGACTTCTAAATGTGTAATTATTTTAAGTTGTCTCTTTTAGATTTTATGTGGTATTTGTATATGGGCAAGGTCGAGACGTATATATATAAAGCAACCAACCAAGTATAAGGTCAGAGACTTAGTCTCTAATCAAGTATTAAAGAGATATAATACTTAGAGAGTAGTCAGTGGACAAATCCTATAGGTGGCTTAATGTTGCAAGCTAATGTTGTGGTAGACTCATATCCAAATTATTCTACCTTGAGAGTAGTACTAGACTTTCTAGTTTAAGTTTCAAAATTTGAAAAATCAAATTAAGTTGTTAGTTGACCTAGTTGAGATAGGTCACACATTGTGATCCGGTAGTGTCTAGTCATCTAAATTGTTCACCACTATTATAAGATATCCCTATAGTTGATATGTGTGATGGTGCATCACATACATCTTTATATATTATGTTGTGTTGAATATGTTGAAGTTGTTTAACTTGCCTTAAGTTGTTAAGTTGTATATTGTGTTGTTAATTGAGGAGTTGTATGTTCTTTTAAATGAAATTGACTATTATTAAGTTAAAAGATGATCTTAGATCCCTCAAGCCGTAGAGTTTTAATACTAATAAGCATAGACATTTTTAGAGAAAAGTTTTTAAAACACTCAATAAGACGAATTCTCTACATAAGACAAATGTTTTTTTTATAAGACAAATACATTAAGACGATTTATTAACTTGACATAAGTGTCTAATAGATGAAATACTTCATCTATAAGGCATTTACTCTAAATTAATATCATTTATGATGTCTAGTAATTAAATTGATCTTTGTGTATATGATTCCTTAATAGATCGAAGCAAAAATAACTTCTCTGATACCCACAGTGACAAAAAAAGAAAAAAGACATGTTTTTTTTTTCTTCAGAAAAAGACAAGTAGATCCCTTGAAACACGAAAATCATAAAAAAAAAAAAGTTGCTTCAAATTAACACATGCATGACTCCACTTGTTTGGTACCTAAAAGGTAAATAAGTGGTTTCCTAGATTAGATAAGAAGTGTCAATTTGGTAAAATACATTTAATGCAAACAATTAATGCACCAATAGACATTTCTCTTCATAAGAAAAGGAAAATTGAAGACAAGAGAAGCAAGCCTTTAAGAAACACTCAAGGATTAGCAACGGTCACCTTTACTAAAGCACCTATAAGAGGAAGTTTGAAATCTAGAAAGAAAGAGAGAACACACACATTGTAAAAATTATATTCATTCTTTTTTGTAAAAATCTTTGTACTTAATTAGTTATATCACAACATTGTTAATTTAACGAACTTTAACTTTATGTTATTGTTTGGAGCCTGGAGAGGCTAGTTTGTTAAAGAATACTCATATGTTTTTTAGTCTGAAAAGGCTCGTCTATAAAAGAATACTTTGGTGTTCAAAGCCTGGAAAGACTTTATGTTAAATAATACTTGAGTAGTTGCTTGAAGAGACAAATCAAAGAATACTTAGTTGAGCTTGAAGTAGCTTATGAAAGAATACTTGTATATTTGCAAAGACGGGGGAACTTGATTGGGTTTGATAAAGAACTAGACGTAGTCTCGGTGATTGAGATGAACCAGTATAAAAATACTTTGTGTTCTTTTGATTAACTATTCGTTTACACTCCTAAGGCATTTCATACTACTTCACTGATTTGAAAAGGTGAGTTTTTAATAAATACTATTCAACCTTCCCTTCCAATGTCTTTCTTTTCTCCATAACTATGTTGTAAATTGTTGTGGGTTGTTCAATTGTGTATATATGTTGATTCTTTTCACAAGTTTATCTAGTGTTTTTCTTGTGGTTAGAACTACAATGATCATACTTAATATGAGAGTAAGACATGATTAGTTGATGGCTTGCTCAATAGTGGAAGGTCATGTAGGAGATGACTACCTTCTTTTGGTGATACTCCTCTAATACTATATCTTATGTAGATGCTTGACTTTTGACTAGGTGTTACTTAAGTACAGTTTTATAGTTAATATAGTTGTGTGTGTGTATATATATGTGTGTGTTTGTGTGCAGGGGGCAACCTGTATGTGACTAGATGTATGTTATATATTTTCCATTCCATAGAAATTGAATTGTAATTAGTATAATGATTAGTCGGGTCATTACAGTTTGTGCAACATATAAATTAAAATACTAGTTTTATTTTAAGTGACACTATATATATGAGAAAAATATTAATACAATAACTAAAATTGTATTAAAGAAATATTTTTTCAAAATAATAAAGAATTTATGATAAATACATTAAGTGAAGGAAAATTTTCAAGATTTGTATACTTTTAATTTATTTCGATGTACAAATCTAAAACAAATAATATAATATTACATATTTTTAGCTACATTTAAAAAAAATAGATTTTAAAACTACAAAAATAAAGCAAACTAAATCACAAAAGATTTGTTTGATTTTGTTCAATTTTGATAATGCATTCAAGTTAAACATAACTAAATCACACTTAATATTTTTGTTTTTTTTTAGTTCAAGTAATTTTTAAGCAAACCATCAAATCAAATCACACTATGAACACCCTATATTTAATTAAAGTCAATGTAGAAAAGTCTTTAGTATATATATTGAAAATTTAAATTAGCTTTTAAAAAATTGAAAATTTAAATTAGCTTTTAAAAAATTGAAAATTTAAAAGTTTAAAAATAAATTGATAATTTAAATTTTGCATATATTGAAAATTTAATTGTTTTATCTAAATTAAATTTTTGAAATTTAAGTAATTTGGCTAGATTTATCTAAATTAAAAATAAATTAAAACAATTCAATTTTCAAATATTTCAATTTCCCTAAAATTTTAACATTTTCTCAAAAACAACTTTACAAAACGTCAAAACCTGAACTTAGTACGTGTTCAATAGGTGTGAAGAAGGGGAAAAAAGACGTAAAATTAGTGAGAAAAAAGAAAGATAAAACGAGTGAAAATGTAACAAGTAAATATAATAAAAAATAATTTTTTTAAAAATATAAAAAAAATGATGATTATTTAGAAAATCACTGCCTTTGCAAAATTTATACATTCTTTACTCAAAAATGAGTTGAAAATTTAACCATTGGAAATTGAAGTTAAATTTAAAAAATATTTTAACCCCTATTTTTCCAGAATAAAAATTAACAAGTAGAAATTGAAGTTTTCTCCGGACGTAGCTCCGGTTTGAACACCGATTAGGATTACCACCTGCAGTTTAAGAAGAAAAACTGAAAAAGCAAACAACCTGCACCTTAATTTCAAATTTTCCAACATGTTGTATAATAAAATACTACTATTTCATAATTATAAGTCAATTTTTTTTTCTCCTCTTTGAGGAGCCTAAGCTGGCTGCACCTGCACATACATATGAGTAATTCTAAATCATAATTAAAAGTCAATTTGTTTCTCCCCTTTGGGGAGGCTAACCTGCACAAATCAGTAACTCTAAATCAACCAACCAACCCTTCGGGCCCTTTTGAAACTGTACATTTCAAAAACGCAAGAAATATCTATGAATGTAACCATAACCATAACCATCATCGTTCATTCCAAACACGATTGGAAGGACGTACCGCATGCATGCTCACTCCGACTTCGAGTTAGCTTAGAGAAGGATAGCTTGCTCCGGGCAGATCTTGTTCCCAAGGGGCCTGATCTGTGTCCGTGCTTCATTAGTAAAGCTATCTCATTTCCTTTCAACGCTCTCTTTTCCATTGCAAGTGAACCAGAACTGTATTCCATTGTGATGCAGTTAGATTCTTCACCATCCACCAAACTGCTATCAGAAAAGACAAGGTCACCTCCAAAATCCGACTCCTCACCATAAGACTCCTTCTGACTCTCATTGATGTCATTGTAGATCAGCTTAAGAGCCTGCACAACCTCACCCATAAAAGGTCTCTTAGACACCTCCGGATTTACACACATGGAAGCAATAGCAGCCACCTTTGCCATGTCATCAAAGTCATAGCTTCCAGCCAGAGATGGATCCACCAGCTGTTCTAAACCTTCTCTACTTGCCAACAGTGGCCGAGCCCACGTTACAAGATTCTCCTGTCCAGAAGGTTGAGACATGTCCACTGGTTTTCTGCCAGATAGAAGTTCAAGCAGCACAACACCATAACTATAAACATCACTTTTAACTAGTAAATGGCCGGTCATTGCATATTCTGGGGCAACATACCTGCATGTAAATGGCATAAGTTGAAGGCTAGGAATTTGCAATGGCATAAAAAGATGATGTCACTCATACAATTTATAACCCACAGGCATTACAATTTATGCAATAGATTGATGTCATGGACTTCGGCAGGAAAAGCAAAGACAATCTGAATAACTCTCGGGATGGTTTAACAAACACCGCGACCAGAATGTGTTAAGCTATCAGATTATTTCGTTAGTTAATTACTGTAGAATATACAAGTGGAGTTGAACATTATCCAACAAAAAAGTCTCAGATACTGAAGAACTTTATGATGATGATTGATGACATTATTTAATGATAAAGAAATGGAAAAGCCACACAGCCTGTGAGATTACATCAGATAAACACAGAACCCATGCCCACTAGCTATGAATGACAGTCAGGTTCAAACCCAGGCCATAAAGTGGATCTCGCAAAAAAATACTCGATCAAAATGCTGCAGACGAAGTCTTAAAACTTACCCAAAAGTACCCATGACCCTAGTAGAAATATGACGACTTCCTTCGGTTGCTTCTCTTGCCAATCCAAAATCAGAAACCTTGGGGGTAAAGTCATCTTCTAACAACACGTTACTAGCTTTGAAGTCTCGGTGAATTACACGAGGATTAGAATCCTCATGTAGATAGGCCAGTCCTCTTGCAGCTCCAAGGGCAATTTTTTTCCGTGCTTCCCAATCTAGAGGGCTGCTTTTCTTGTTAACATCACCTGCAGCATCATTAACAAGAATAAAACTTAATTTAACATACGCCAAGGCATTTAAAATTGAAAATGTGGCACACACCCAGAACCAAAAAAAATATGCAACCAATTACCATGCAAATGAGACTCCACACTACCATTGCGAACAAGCTCATACACCAAGCAACGCCTTCGCCCTTCTATGCATATACCAATGAGTTTCACAAGATTACGATGATGCAAACGACTTAGCATCTCAACTTCGGAGACAAATTCACGGTCTCCATTCCGATCATCCCTTGTTAGCAGCTTAACTGCAACTTCATTTCCATCATCCAATATCCCACAATAAACACGTCCAAATCCTCCTTCTCCTAATACTCTATGAGAACTGAACTTAGCTGTTGCTTTCTCAAGCTCGGAAAAGGAAAATGTTTTAACAGAGAGAATAGAAGTAGCGATGGTGGACACAAAGGACATAGATCTTGAGCTCGTAATTCTTCTTGACAACATGGACTCCATGGCTGCATAGTTAGAATCATCCAATTATATTTTACTTCAATTATGATGCAGTTTACAGAATAAAGTAAATAACCTAGAGGGCAAGACAAGTAAAAATTCTTAATATTCACACATGATATAAGTACCACATTTTCAAAATTGATGCAAGTTCCCAAACCAGAAAAAGTGGAATTTGTCATCATAAATGAGAAAAATGTTGATTTCACAACATTGATTGTCGGTATATTACAATAACCACCAAAAGTGGAAGAAATCTCACTAATCATATTGATCCTATATATAGCAATACTGGTGTGTGGTGTCTATTTTGTTGAAAATATGATATAAGGATATGTTACTCCTGGTCCTAGACTACCAATCAAGGTCCCAATGACAGACCTAGGATCCCAGAGGGGCAGGCAGAGGGCCACCACGCCAAGGATTACCTCCAGGCATTCCCACTCCCCCCTCCTCTCAGTAAGAAAGATTACCCAAATAATCTTTGGACAATAGGTGATAACTGACAAACCTTTGCAATACTAGTATATATCGATATAAAAAAAATGCTTCACAATTATCATATAAAAGTGGAGCACAATTATCACCAAAACCTAATTTAACTGACACAAAGCTGACAATTTAATGAGCATGGCAAACCTTCAAAACCCATAGATCAGCATACTGAGAATTTGTAAAGGTGTAAAACAAAAATATATCCTTCAAAACCAAGAAATAGAAATAGCTAAACGAATATAATATTTAGCACATGGTAAGGAAAACAAGAACTGATAGAATGAAAATGCATAAGGATCTGTACTCAACCTAAGAAATAATATTTTAGGCAACAATTTAGTTGAGTATAATTTACAATAAAATGCTAAGCAATCATATGACAAATTCTTCCAATTCTATATAAGCATCTGTAAATTATTTTATGAAGAAAAAAAAATACTTAGTAAAGTTCAAAGATATACCAGATCTCTTGTTTAGATGCGATGTGAATGCAGGGCCAATAGCATGTGATGGTCTCCTAACTTTCATCCATTTCAAAAGGATGGAAAATGCTCCGACCAAAACCAACAAGAGTATAATGGAAGATAGAGCAACTATGGTTCTAAGATCCATTTTCGCATTCTTGTTGATAAAGTCGACAGTGACTGGGAGAACATCATTGGGCTGGGGACCGCTCCCTAAGGTTCCAGGTGGCAATGATGATGGTATCCCTGAAACCAACTGCTTTAGTCTCAAGCAGTAACATATGGCAAGAATAAAGTGAAATGTCATAAGCAGAAATGAAACAACTACCTGGATAAGCAATGTACAAGATTGCATAATCACCAAAAAGGCTCCTATTTATAGGAACTTCCTTGTGCCAAAACTTCTGATACAACAGAACTGCAGTGGTATTGTCAAATTTTTCCCCAAGTGGAACCAAGTTAATATCAACTTTGGTTCTTCCCTGATTTTGACCGTCAGCACTGACACCCACTATCCTCACCTGGCTCTGCTTCAAATATGTTCCAGATGCAACTTCGATCTCTAACTCATTAATTACTGGAAAAACAGCCAAAGGAGCCACATCCAGTACTAGTCTGACTTTCATGGGAAACACACAACCACAAGGTGTACCAAAAGGAGTTGCAGTTAATGGATCTGTACAGGTTTGGTAACAAGCTGCCAGAAATTTTTTTATATCATGAGTGTAGTGTAAGATATTATGGTATAATATAACAAGAATGCTTGTCACAGAATATCATGTAATTTAATCAGAAAAAAGAAATGAACTTGTGGCAAATAAAACTTTGAATTATCCATTATAACAAATATTTAGGTCCACGCCAGCAGTCAAGCCAGCATATGAATTAAACCCATTAGAACCTATCATACCTTAAGGAAGCAGACAAAAGTTTAAGAAATAAGAACCCAAAGACATCTTGAATAATAACATTGAGAAACAAATATAGTCTAAATTTTTTTTACCACATTCAACACCTTTACCCTGACTTAGTAAGGCAGGCAACAAATATAGTAAATATATTAACATTTCACACAAAACATTTTTAATCCAAAGCATCAAACTAATTAAATTCAAAAGATTTTTCCAAGTAATTCTATTTTTGACATTATGCCTATTTATACTATCTTACCACGCTTAGCATAGTTGATAGTACCATACATTAAAAGAACCAATTAAGATAACTAAATATTAAAATTCAGCATATTTAAGCTCCAAAGAATCAATTCATGATTCCCTTGGTCAACTTACACCACCAAATAGAGATGTGGAGAATCATATGAAGGAAAGAAAAACAAAAAGGATTGTAATTACAATTGAATGACCAAAAAAGCCATTGAGATTTTATAAATGGTCCTGCCCCTGGTAGAAGTAGTAGCAGAAGAAAAGTGTATAACTTCCAGGAATTACCTTGGCCTTTAGAAGGGGATGGAGCCACAACATAAGGTTCCATGCTATGGTGATGATGGTGATGATGATGAAGTTCTGATCTTGGAGTCACTTGAGGACCTAAATAGGAGAACATTAATTCTCAGTCTCATAGCAACATGAAGTATGACAAGTTATTTAAAAAATATGATAGTATACCTTGATAACATGGAGATTGCCCAGGAGCAATAGATGGTCCAGAAGAAGGTTTAAATAACCACATTTTAGCTTGTTCAGATGAAGAAAATGGCACATTCATATAAACCAAGTTCACTGCAGGAAAAGAACCTACTGGATTATACATAATGGCATAGTTCTAATTTGCAGAGAAACCTCAAAAGGAATCTCCTAAAATTATTTTATAATAAATGAATAAAATCATAGTAATACAGGTAGGAAAAGGCTTCTGTTGCTGTTGTAAATTCCTTTCCATTAATTACAAAGTACGTGATTCAATATGGACTTGAGCACAAGCAGTCAAGCACATAAAAGTAGTGCATAGAGTTCATTTAGGAATCCTATCAAATATTAGAAGGGTTTTATACTACCATCTTATCTTATTTGATTTACTCCAGCTTCCAATATTGTTTTATGATCAAGAGCCTATTAAATCTCAGCACATACTCTTGTAGTAGTATCCTTTCCAATATTCTAATGGAAATATAAACAAGTATAAAATCTCCATCTGTCTGATACACAACTTAGTGGGATGATAAATGATCACAAAACACACCTATGCAAGGAAATTGGATAAATAACATGAAGGACCAGATGACCTTCTCAAAGAAAGTTGATTAAGTGAACATGAGACATAATTGCCCACTGATTTTAAGAAGCTTAAGAAAGAAGACAAGAACAAGGAAATAAGAAATTCTGTTTATAGGAAATGCAATAAATTTAATAAATTCTGTTTTATGGCACTGAGAAAAACATCTGTTTACAGTGAGGTCTTCAAGCATAATTCTCGTGTTCATTTTGTATTGCCCAAAAGTCAATTCGATATTACATTGCAGGTCTTATAACTGGTAAAACTTTCCCTTAAGCTTGGGCAATGTGTATTTTATCACAAATAACATTCAAGACACTCCTCTATTTCCTCCACCCTGATTGAATCTCATCTCATGGTTTACATCCCCTTCTATTTCTTCATCATGTTTTGTATTATTAGCCCAAGATACTTAAACCATGTCATGTGTGGTAAGATATGGTCTCTAATTTACATCTAAGGTATGATTGATGCACTTGCTAAGTTTTGATAATAACAAATATTTCAATATATTACTTGGCCTCTGGAAATTAAGCAGCTTTAAAAATAAATTTATATGCTTGATACTCAAAAAGTTAGAACGTTTAAGTTTCCAAGAGTAGACTATTCAGGGATAGGACATATTTAAATTTATCAAATAATGCATAGGTCAAAATAAATAATAAAAAAATTGATTCCAAGTCCCTGTCCTGTTTTACAAAAGATACTGAATATATAACACTGAAACTCAATGTAGTCCCAAGCAAACAAACAAATAGAATCCAATGAGGCATCTATAAGCAGTGATTTCTTTTTAACACAGTCTATGAGAGGAATGCTAAAATTGCTTCTAGTTAACACAGTCTATGAGAGGAATGCTAAAATTGCTTCTTTTTAACACAGTCTATGAGAGGCATGCTAAAAATGCTTCTTGATAAATTTTAAGATTAGTAGATGAAGAAGAAACCCACGTAGAGATGGAAGATGGGAAGTAGGATCAAGTTGATAAATTCAAGTGTGGTGGAATGCAGTCATAAGATCAAAATACTCAACAATGTCTAAAATGTAAGCTAATCCATTGGGAAAATTGTTATTATACCGACCAAAACACACCATTCACCAATATAAGCAAGACTCAATACACACTGTAACACCATGTCAAAGAATTAGGTTTCATAAGCGAGGAGAAACTAAATGATATAGTTACACATTTGCTCTTAGCAAGATCTATGAAGTAAGGTTTTAAAAAAAACAAAAACTATGAAGTAAGAAACATTAAAAAGCTATTCATTCATGATGCAATTAAAACCATATTAATCCAGAAGAAAAAGTTAGACCAAAATTGGAAGAAACCAACTAATTATTAAACAACACATTATGAATTCCCAAAATAATCACAATTCATAAATTTCTATAATTTAAGTGCTGTCAACATCAAGCCACAGAACTAGGTCTAATGGCCTTTTCCCTAATAAGATGCATCTAATAAGGTTTTGCGCACGACAGTAATTCAAGAACCTTCAATTGGTAACTTCAAGTTTCAATCAATTTACAAATTTATTTTTCTGCTAAATGTTCACCTGTGTGATAAATATTAGCCTGATATGGTGTGTAAATAAACATTCTGCGGTCTCTACCAATTAATTCTACGATATTCTTAAATTTTCTTCCATTGATGTACACTCATCCGTAACAATTCAAAGACCAAGCCTAATTGGAAACCAAACAATTTAAAATCACCATACAAGGCTCGTAAATTCGTTCTTCATCATTCATGAGCGAAAATGGAAACAGCATGCGAATTAACGAAGTGGCGAAAGCTGAACAGCGCGAAAACGAAACGAGTGATACCTGAGAAAAGGAGCAGATGAAGGAGAGACAGGAGGAAGGAACGCGACGTCGACATTTCTCTGGCTCAAACGGAGGTTCGAAAAAGCATTATCAGCAAAACGCAGCGTAGCGGAAACTCGGTAACGCCCGGCGGTTATCGTCTAGGCAGCGGCATTGCGGAGAGTAAGGTGAGGGCGCGGAAGAAAGCATCAGAAATTCAGCATGCAAATTGAAAACCCTAGGCAGAGAGAAGAAGATGGACTGAGAAAGAATGATGGTGAGTCGGAATGTTCTAGATCCCCGAAATCCGGTAGAAAAGAAAAGAGAAGAGAAGACTTACGAGAACGAGTCCACACCGTTGTGCATACACGCACCAGCAGAAGAACGAAGTAAGCGAAGGTATGCAGAGAGAGAGAGAGAGAGAATTTAGCGAGAGACGAAAATGGCGGAAGAGTAGAGAAGAGAACGATTTTGTTGAAACAGTGAGTGAGTGAGTTTATGCTATGCAAGAGTGATGATGGAGTTTATGAGTGTGTGTGTGTGTGTGAGAGAGAGTGCGTAGTGTTGGAGTGTTAAGTGAAGTGAACGCTATGTTTGGGCGCGTGTGACCATAATTTGTTCATGAAACGACAAATTGGAGGCCGTTTCATGTCGTCATTAGAAACCGTTTCTTGTTTTTCATGTGATACAATTCCCCAGAGGCAAGTGATCCCATGTTACGCGGCCTCCACGTTAGCAATGTGGACCACTTTCTTGCTTGATCAGGTGATTTTGTTGTCCACTGAAAATAATTATTCATACAAGTGATGTTTTCATGAGCTTTTATTACATGACTTAAATTAAGAACTTGACCATGGAAAATATCGACATATAAAGATTATTTAAGTGTTAATTAATTAGATATTTTTAAGTTTAATTTGATTAAATTATATTTTTGGTTCTTTATATTATTTTTATATTTATTTGATTCTTTATCTATTAAAATGTTCATTTTATTCATTTATGTTTTATATTTGAATCAATTTAATTCTTTTAAAATAATGATTATTTTTAATTTTGTAATATAATTTTGAATTAACTTTTTACTGATTCAAGATGTGAAACTTGTAATATTAAAGTTACATATATAAAAATTATGAAATATAATTGATGTTTAAATCTAAAAAAAAAACTATAAACATAGTGAAAATAGTGTGAGAAATGTAACACTGTACATTTATTTTCTAATAATTGTTTATTTGATTGGAAAATTTTTCTGATCTTTCTTTTTGTAACTCTCAGAAAAAGGATTGTTTGATGTCTATTTGGTTAGCCATCATATGGACAGTATGGTTGGTTAGGAATGAATAGTCTTTTCTTCCACTCAAATATCTGCATTGGAGATAGTAGATTTGGTTAAAATTAGAACCTAGAACTGGTTAAGGACAAGGCATAAAGATTTTAGGTATGACTTTGCTTCTTGGTCCATGAATCCAACAGTTTGCCTTACCTAGGTAAATGTATTTAGGTGGTAAATGCGACTATTGGAGAAATCCAACTCTGCAATTTCTATTTCAAAGTTGTGGGTTGAATGTGATGAACTAACTTAGGTACCTATTTTGGAACAATATTTTTAGTAATGCATAATACGCATATCACATATGATATTTTAGTAATGGGTTGGAGTACCCCTTTTACTTCCTTTAATTTCAATTATTTCGATTATCAAAAAAAATTATGATTTGATTGGTTTATATATTGTGGTGTGTTGTTGTTTATTTGCTGAGAACTCTAAAAATTTAGAAAATTTTAAGGAGTTTTAGTTGGTCAGGAGTGTCTTTGAGCAGAAGTCAAGCTCGACTTGTACGGGAAAATATATAAGGTCTTTCTAAAGAAATGGACCTCATAAGCCTATTTTCTTAAGAAAGTTAGAGAGTCTAGAAAGAAGAGCTCTGGAACCTAAGGAGGATCATTTTCTCTTCTAACTTCTTGAATCTCTTTTTTTCCCTTCTCCGCGACTAATTTTTGGTGATTATCTTGTGAATCAAGCTCGTAGAGCGAAGAATCAAAGTAGTTGTTGTTGGTGGTGTGGAGTAGCTTGGAGCATTCGTTCGCTTTCTTCTTCCTTGTTTCCCTTCATTTCGGAGGCAAGGGAAGTTTGTAGAATGATTTATTTGTGTTGCATGTGTTGATTTCTGTGTTATTTAGTCCATTGGTGGCATTTATGTTGAGAATGCATGCAACTCATGTTATGGGGTTTCGAGGTTACGAAGGATAAAGATGGATTGATGACTTTGAGTTTGATAGTAGTTGTGTGTGATGTTTTGAGTTGTATAAGGTATGAAAAAGAAAATTTATGGATTGCATGCATTTGTAGATGATGTGTGTAGCTAGATTTGTTGAGAGAAAGTGATTTTCACGGAGGAACATCGCATTCTCACTCAACTAAAAGTGTGTGTTTGCCTAGTGTTTATGCACAAATGAAGAAAATTAACCCATTTTTCATATTTTTGCTCAATAATGAGTTTTGGTCACTTAGTGAGGAGTTTTAGAGAGCTCAACTTGCTTAGCTAGAAATTGGTCACTCAATAATGAGTTCCAAAGAGCTCAACTCATTCAACTAGAAATTGGTTGCTTAGTGATGAGTTCTAGAAAGTTCAGCTCATTTAATGAGATAATTTTAGCTCAAAAAATAGTAGATGGTCAAATTAGACTTTGTAGTCTTCATGAACATTGTGGCCTTGGATGTTATCTTTCCAATGACTTTGGAACCACCTAAAAAAGAGGTTTAGAACTCAAGTTATGACCTTTTTAGTAAGCAAAGGTCAAGTTGTTAACTTTAGACTAAACCGTTGTAATTTTTGTGATTTTTAGCATAATAAATGCTTTAAATAAAACAAGAGATCAACATGAGAGTTTTATATAATTTTCTTAGCTTTTGTATGAGATAAAGATGAACTTGATAGGATTAGTGGAACTCTACCATTGTGTTTGGTTTATCGTGAAAAAGTCTTAAACGGTCGTTGAACGTGAAAGTAACAAAATGTTACTTCTCATTTTTCTGCTTTGGAATGAGAGAATTTTGTTTACATCATTTTAAATGATAATCCAAATAAGCTCTACATGTTGTAAGTTGTCTACTGTTGTAAATTGCCTATTGTTGTAAGATGCTTATCAATTTAAGTTGCTAGTTCTTTATACATTGATCTGTGATAATGTATATTGATGATTATATTGTTGAATTGTTAAGGTGTGATGCTGAGAATGTTACAGGTATTTAGGCATGTTGATTGACTTAAAATAAAAGGAGAGGGTGTTTTTGAAAGATTAGATATCCCATAGTGTGGATATTGGTGTGATACCATGTGAGCCCAATTATTAAAAAACCCTCCTTAAGTAGGCATTGTCTCTTGAGTTATTGAGTTCCTCTAGATCCTTAGTCAATGTTGAGTAAGGTATAAAATCAAGAGTTCAAACCCTTAATTGATTATTGGAGAGGTACGTGGTATCATGAGGGTAATTTACATGCTAAATTCATAGGTGACTTGGTCAATGCATGTCAAGATTGTAGTAGGCCCATGTCCAAGTTATGTTATACTTGGTGGTGGTACTAGGCTTTTCTAGTTTAAGTGGCGACATCCAAGAAATCATATCGTAGGAATTAATACCCCAATTGGTTATTGATCTAGCAGGTGTAAAAAGATCAGTTAGTTTGATAGGGTAAAGTCACTTAGACTACTCACCTATGTTGTAAGAGGTCTTTGTAGGTGAATGCATGAAAATGCATTAGTTAAGATGTACGCATATGATATTTTGTTTTTGGTGATTGTTCATATGTTATGCAAAGTTGTATGTTGGATGACATGGTTGTGGTGTAAGTTTGATATGCTTGAACTGCTTATGTTTCAAACTTATTTTATGTCATGTTGAGGTGATTTGTTGTGTTGTTAAGTTGTAGACTATAATGTGATTTTGTTGCATGGTTTACATGATGATGTTGTTGATAGTATAGTTGTGTTGCTTCATACTTGTTGTATGATTACTCTTTATACACTAACTTACCATTGCATGTTTGCTTAGTGATTGAACTACAATGATCATGTTTACATGGGAGTAGGACATAGATAGGCCAAATGTTGATGTCATCTTGAGAGCCATGTTGTTGACAATGTAGCTTGGTGCTACTAGTGATGTTGTTTTTGCAATGTTGCTTGTCTAGTAGTCTAAAATTATTCTTTACATGTATGAATTTATTATCAATTGCAAATTTCAGGAACTGTTTATGTATTAACCTTAGGTAGGTGTGTATGTCTTTAAATTTTTTATTTTTTACCATGTTTATGACACATTTGGTTTGAATTTCAATTGTTTTCAATAGTTTTCATATAAGTAAATTTTATGTTGTAAGTCTTGAGTCAGTCAAAAAAATTCAAAAAAAAAAATTAAATTGACCTAAATTTAGGAGATAAAAGTACTAAAATGAACATTTTAAAAATAAATAACCAAAATGAATATGAAAAATAAGATAAATGATCAAAAATATAATTTATTCATTAAATTTTAAAAATTACTAAAGTCGACCTAATAATAAAAGATTGGGGTAAAATGTATAGCATCTTAAGTTTGAATCCTATCCTATCATTATAATTTCAACAGATAAAAAAATAATTTTGAAATAATGATTATAAAACTTGCTGGTTATAATTTTTAATTATATACAAATTATAATTACATAATAATGTACTTAAAAAAGTAATTATATAATAATGTAAAAAAAATATTTACATAATTAAATATTTTGATTAAATTCAAATACGTATATAAGAGTAATATTATATATATTAATTATTTTATATTTATTTTTTTATCCATAATTTAATATTAGTGTAACTCACACTTAATTAACTCACATGATCCAACTTTTATATTTGACACTGATTGTTTGTATTAATTTAATTTTAGCATGCTGGTAATAGATATATTCCACATTTTCTCAACGGGGGAAATTTGGTAGAGGAAATTTTTTTTTATACTAGTAACTAAATACTGATTGTTTGGTAGGGGATAAATTTTTTCACATCCAGAAATTATGATTTATAAGAATTACAAATCTTAAGAACCATAATTTTTAAAAATAGTTAAAATATGTTTAATTATACATAAAAGTTCAAGAAAATATTCATCCAAAATTCTCGAGAAATTAAAAATTTTCATGTTTGATTACAATAGTATATTCTTGGATGTATAAATATTTTTTACAAAAATATTCTATATTAAAGTAAACTCATTAGAAATATTTATTTACCTAAATTTTATTACAAATGTGACATTAAATTGTTTTAAAAATTTGAAAATTTATTATAATTATTTAAATACAAAATTCAAAAAAGAAAGAAAGGAAGAAAAAATATAACACTATAATTAAGAAGAATAAAAATATATTATTTCATTTCATTCAAGTAAAAAAAATAAAAATCTATTAACAAATACTATTAAAATGTAAAAACTAAATGGACTTTAATAGAATTATTAAAATTGACAAGATCAATAAATAATAAAATACAAAAAAGAGAG